CTGAAACACTCGTGCTAAAATGTCGGAATACCATTTAAATGAGGCTTCGCATTTGTCAGAAGTGTTCGCTCAGTCCGAAACTAAAACATAGTTTATGTAACAGCTTTGCTCTCATCAATCCTGTAACAGTTACGCGTTAGTACTTTATCACAGAGTTGTTCCATACAAGATGAAACCATTAGCATGTTTTATGGATTCACGAAAACACAACTGCGTAAGTGCGTTGTTTTGAACGTTATGTAGAGAAAAGCAAACTCAAATGTTCGTTTGTAATCTAGAAATACAATAATCAAAGTTCAAAAGGTCTTATTATTTTAAAAATTGCTAGGCGCGACGTATCTCATGGGTGATGTAAAATGTAGGAAAAGAATTTTGACCAAGTATTTTTCCCGACCCGGAATCCAAATCTTGGATTTAATAAAGTGTCGAGTGTACAGTAATGTCACTACTTAATACACAAAGGTGCAATTCTGCTAAGGACAAGTTCAGTGTAGTAGTTTTAATAATTTATCTGATATACTCTCGTGGTTATTTAAAACAAATGTAAAAGTGATTTATATTTCGATAGCGTATAAAAATGTAACGTATATAATGAAAACGGCACCAAACATTAAATAAAGGGAAAATAATATTAACGTCTTTTATGTATTTGAATTCAAAAATAAATGTTTTGAAATATAATTTTGAAGTTGCCATGTAATTGTTTCAACATCCATTTAAACACATCAGAATTGAGAATCTACTTTTTTTGAAGACAATTGGGCTACGTAGATACTTACTCTTACAAACGGCACACCAGTTAAAAACTAAAGACTAAGACTAGTGTGTTTAAGACCGCGAAACAGAAGACTACAACATAAACTAAAGAAATCGGAACAGATAAAGTTTTTTGTTGTGATAGAGCCTTCTCTACACAGACTACTACTACTACAAGCATGACCATCACTTGAAGATGAAATACCCATATAACATCTCAACAAGATGCGCGGGGACCTATTTTTGGCTTTGGACATTCCGAAATTTACAGATTAAGCCTTACGGCGTTTTTTATCTGTGGACTGTGGTTCGTGACATGGGCGCAATTTCAATATTCCTACCACCCATTTTATCCAGATTTCCAGATGAAGTCGAACATGTTCCAGAAAAATCATAAATCAATTAGAAACACGTTTGACTCGGTGGGGTCTGAACCCACAACCCGTTGATTATTACTACCGCCTCTGTGTAGCCTGGCATTGCGTTATGCGCGAGAGGGTTCGAATCCCAGGAAAACAAAAAAAAAGTTGTTCCGGTCGGGGAGGGGACAGAAGTCTGATCAACTACTTGCCTGTTAAAAAAAAAACGGATCATCGCAACAGACACATAAATGTGTTCGCCCCACGCCCCACGCCCCACGGGAGGGATTACAGGGAGATAAATTGCTACAAAAATATCGAATAGTTAAGAACTTAGAATAATGAAATCTGTTTTACTAGAGCAGATTATAACAGGAATTGCCGAACACAGAACCACTTAACTGAAGTTTTGTACAAGCACGAGCGCCTTCCGAACTTTGTTGTAATAAATATGTTTGTATTAGGCGTATGTTATCGTGTTGGGCGTAATTGAAAAAGTTCTGACAAGGGTTAAACTGGTCACCGAAACATTGTGCCACGGGCCTGGTGTAAATTGTTCTGTGTTACAGCGCAAGAATTTTTTATGATGAGTGGTGTTGGTCTTTACAATGGTTCACATCAGTCGTTGTTTGATTACATATGTGATTCGCCAAGAAATTTAATATGACTTGATAATAAAAAAATAAAAACTTATAAACATATGCAGCCTGATACACTTAAGGTTAAGCTAACCCAAGATATATTAATTTAAGTTAGTTAAGTATTGCCTGCAGTTAATATTTAAATAAAACCCTTTATCGATTTAAAACACGAAATATAATCATTTTTTTAGTCTCGAAACTTCGGTTTAGTGAATTAAAGTATAAGTTAATTAATATATCACGCGTTTTAAACCGTTTAAAGACCATTTTATTTAAAAATATTTGTTATCAAAAGAAAATGGCAAAACAATTTGTAAAAGACAAGAAAAATAGACTGCTTTCGTCCTAAACATAGTTAAATTTATATCATATTTAGTCAAACGTATATACTTATTTGTCCCAAAAGGTTGGAATATAGCAAAACAAAATAGGTATTAAAAAATGTATTCTTCCTTAGATGGTAACTTTCAAGTTTCCCTTTGAAATTTCCTTCGTCAAGAGACAGGCTATTACTAATACATCCTATAAATTAAGGCGAGTTGATATTCCTTAGAAAAAAGTGGAAAGCCAAGCACTGAAGCACCATTAAGACACTACTTAAGACGTAAGCACCCGCACCTAATGAATTTTGAGGTGGCACTTACACTTCTAATCTTAAGATCTCTTTGAAGTGGGAAACCCTGAGATAAACATGGTTTTAAATAGAAAGACGCGGTTTGTAATATAATACACAGACTCGAATACTCACAACAAGAGTTATTCATATAGCGTTATCACAATTCAATCCCTTCTTTACGATAGAGGAGTACAGTCAAGCATGTTTCTCTTGATGGTAGATGAAATAACCTAGCCATAAAACATCTAAGCAAGATGCGCTTCCTGTTTTGTCTTTGGATATTCGGATATCCACAGAAACTAAACGCGATTAACGACTTTTTCATCTATAGACGTGATTTTCGACATTCCTAGCACTCACTCAATCCAGATTTCCAGATTAAGTCCAAGAAAAATGTTAAACTCGGAGAGGATCGAATCCACCCAAAAATATCTAAACAAGAAGTGCTATCAAACGCTTTTTATAATGTTTAAGTGTATCTTATGGCCTATAAATGTGAAATCATATGACGTTATTGTATCTTAATCGATTTGAGCAGCAGCACGGAACGCTGTAGATGTCGGTTCAAGTCTTGCCAGTGTCTTATAATTTTTCAAGATAGATTTTTAATTTGAATTATATTAATTTTCGCAATAGATGATAGAATAATAGTTGAGTATTAAGTACGAGTAAAATGTTAGCCCCAAAAAGCGTGTACCATAAAATTTAAATAAATATATGAATTACTCTTTTTTTATAGTAAAAATTATAAGTCATAACAAGAGGGTGCATGTATCAATAAGTTGAAAAAAATTGACGATGAGGTTTAGGACTCGGTAGCTCAATTGGTAGAGTAACAGCACGGAACGCTGACGATGCCGGTTCAAGTCTTGCCCGAGTCGAAATTTTTTTCAATTTTTAAATTAAGTCAATTTAAAAGTGAAATGTTGCAAATATATATTTAAAAGTTTAAAATCCGAAACTCCATATCGGTTTTTGCAATACTTTTATTGGCCGGCAACAAACGTGCTTGTCGACCTATAAACGTTTTTAAACTTCTGAATAATGTAGAATACACAACGTTCTCCACTTGCCAGAGCCTAGGTTAATCGAAGCAAACGTCGATTAACATATCAAAGAAGTTATGCTATCAAGAGTTTCTGAACCAATAAAGCTAAATAGAAACTTTTAGCGTTTCACCATACTCCAACAATTTGCTCTTTAAATAAAACTCTTATAAGGGTTTTAAATCAAACGAAATGTATACAACTTATTTTAACATTATTATAACTATGGTCCAATGTTTGGAATGCTTTCCAGCAGCCATGGTCACGGGGAGACTATACATGGAGGGTGTCCCTAATATCAAAGCAAAACTGCAGCAGAGGCAGCGCGTTTTAAACCGTTAAAAGTGTTTTATTTAATTGTTTAAAGTACAGATAGTACTTGATTTGCTCCTGATTAAACTGTTTCTTAAAATTTTGCTATGGTCTCTCGATAAACTACCTCCCATTTGTTTACCGTTAATATTTGAAATAGTTATATTGAAGAAAGGTGCTAGGTAGGGTTTACCTTTTTTTTTATGACAATGCCTTTACTGCTGATAGATATAATACGAATATCTGATATATGTCACTTGTTGTAACAGAAACTATATTTATTTTGCAGCACAAATAGTCACTAATATTAGGAAAGATATAAAACATATACTCGTACCTATGACTATAGATAGACTCAAGATCACGAAAAATAAAATGTTTAATTATTTACCTTTAGCGGGACTTACTGAATAATTAATTCAAGCACAAAACTAAAACACTATCAACGAACAAGCAGGTTCGGAATATGGTAGTAAACATTTTATAGCATCCGTCTAAACTACGTCTGACACCCCTTTCATGTTTTAATGATATTTCCGAAGCGGGGAAACTATTATTTTGATTAATTAATATAACCAGAAAACCATGCTAAGATGTACATAATTATAATTAAACCTAAAACACGAAATATAGTAGGTAGTTAAAAATATTTAAGTTGTTTTTTCTTATAGACAGTCAAGACACGAAGATCATAAAGGAATATACCTAAAAACGTGTCTGTTTAATTATACGAGATAGTAGGTATATACAAACTTCGTGTGTGCAAACGCTTTAGACGATTTTTCATAAAATAAAAAACATCATCATGCTATATCAGTTTTTAGTTGCAACAAAGCGGTAGTAGGTAGGTAATAAGTTATTATGTTTTATTATATCTATCTATGTATCTCAATTAACTATATAACATAAGCATACTTGTCGATTTATCAAAATATATTTTTGCTAGCTCTATAGTTTTTATAAAATTATAATTAAAATTAAACTTACATGAAACACTGTATCGGCTAAACACATTCCCCAATACTTCCACAAAGTCACGCTCATTCACAAAACAACAAATAAAACACACATCAAGTTAGACATTTTCATCAACACCGCAGTATCGCCACGAAACACTATAGTTTCGTATCGTCGCGTAGTAAAATTCTCAACTCGCCGAAATACGTCCCAACCGGCACACGAGTCGCGGAGATCTAAAAAATTTTAGTCCTGGAAGCGTATTGCTGTACCGCTTCGTTTTGCAAAAAACACGCGATTCACGCCCTTATTGTTAAGAATAGAAGACGGAAATAACTTCGGCAGATAAGCCGTTGTTACGCCGGAAAGCAATGATAGGGGAATAAGCACAGATGCTGGGCGCATGCGCCGTTCGGGTGCGTCTCACATCGAGAAGCGCTTGTGTGCATGAATGAGAAACAACACTGAGTCGGCGTTGGACACTATTGTTGAATAAGTATTCAACATCTTCCCCGGAGGCCACTAGTAATCGGCCGTTGAGGAAAACTGTAGGGCTTAGACGACACTCGTGCGAAAATAAGGTCTGCATAATTTATGGTACCGTGCGTATACTAATAGCTTTTAGAAATGTTTTTGATGTAAGATTGAACGCGGCACTACATTTAAAATACAAACATTATTGAATCTTATAATGCTTGCACAATATAGAATGCCATCTTTATATAAATTTAAAATCGATTTTAGATTTATTATTATATGCCGGTGTATTATATTTAAAAAAATAATAATACACCGGCAGGACTTGAATCGACGACGGCTTTGAATTTTTAATTTACATCTACCTTAAATAACTAAACCTACTTTAAATAAATAATTCTATTAATCTGTTCTCTTAATAATCTATGTCGAAGAATTATTTCTAGTCTTTGAACTAAGAAGGATATGCTAAAAGTCTTCTAGATGAAAGTTTGAAATAGGTATGACAAATCAGCAAATAGAATAACAATTCGTAACTTAAAAAAATACTGACAAAAGTTAGAAAAGTTGGAAAAATAAACATTTAGTTAGTAGTAGTAGTACATTTAGTTTGTCTGTCATTAGGTAGTTTTACTTAAGTACTGTCTGACTGTATAGTTTTACACGAGTAGTACCTACACATTTAAATGAAACACTTTGATCGGCTTAATACGCGAATTATATACTCGTATAACCGATAAACGACTTAGCGTTAAAATCAATCACTGTCTTTAGTTACTAGTTACTAATATATCGCGTTTTAAACCGTTAAAGTGTTTTATTTAAAATTATTTTTGCCATATTTTCTGCTTTATCTCTCAGTATAAATCGCTGGCCGCTCACTGCTCTTTCATAACAAAAGCGTAGTTTTGAATAAAACGAAAGAATAGAAGATTATTCAATGTTTGCTTATTTTAGATTGTGTATATAACCGATTACAAAACGACCACTTAGCTGATTCGTAAATAAACCCCGATTATAAAAAATAGGCTTAATGCGTTTTGTTAATCGAATTTCGGATGTAGGATTCGTTTTAAAATGTTAAGCCGTTCGTAACGAACATTGACGTCTACCTCGGCAGTGGGGGGCTCACTCAATTGCCATTCATATTTGCAAATGTTATGCGTGTCGGTGTTTGTGGATCCATTCGCCACAATCACAATACCTCGATACTTCAATATAACAAACGTTTTGTACACCACGTAATGAATATCAATATTGGAAGAAAGCTCTCGTCTAGATCTAGGGCCAAGGTAACAAAGCGTGAACTAAATTCTCTCTAATACTCTCTTGTAGTTAATGTACACACATTACATGATATAGAGGAGTTTCTTTAAGTCTGGCTACTGGTGGTTTTATGCAACCCTAGCTGATCCCGTGACTTTGTCCACGTGGAATAGTTACTTTAGTCATCATATTGTTTATTTTTGTAAACAACCTCTTCAGCTTGATAAATTATAGCTACCCACGATGTCTTCTTTTCGTTTCTTGAACCGTTTTTACAGGCAACAGAAGCCCTAAAAATCAATAATTTACCCGTATTTTCCACATTTCCTTCTGTTACGGTCAAATAAACTTTTTATCTTTATAATATAGTAGTGTAAATTGTAAAATTTGTTAATTTACTAAATCTATACAATAAAATTACATCGTAAGCCACCCTTTTTGTATCTAATTTAAGTGAAATACAAACCTAAGTAAAACACTTTCTACAGTTTAAAATACGAAATATTAATGTTAGCTTAATTTATGCCTAATGTTACAACTTCCAGCACCATCACGGTTGCTGCAAAGCTTCCGATACAAATTTTATTCGAGTTTTAAATCATTAAAAGTGTTTTATTTAAATATGTACTACCGTAAACTATAGACAATAAATACTTACGTACCTTTCAAACCTAAACAACCCGATCAATGTATATTTTTTGTTCTTTGGTTTTAAGTTTTTTTTTTTTTTTTTTTTTTTTTTTTTTTTTTGCCCCTTTTTTTTTTTTTTTTTTTTTTTCGTTAACTAATATATTTAGTATATTATTTTTGCGACTAGACGTTAAATTATAGGGTAGCTAAATTATATGATACACTGTCCACTATCCTTCATTGCTCCATACAAGGAACAGCTTATCAAATGTGAGTGTTTCACCAAGGAAGCTTTATAACGGAGATGAAGTGCTTATATTATATTAGGTATGTGGGTGTTTAAACTTTGAGCCATTGTGTTCTCAAGACGTGCTTCCCATGATACTGATGATGAACAATTGTTTCTCTCGGTAATTATTATTAAATTAATTCCATGTACTCGGGAATACACGTGAGCTGTTGAGCTTTGATGTATAATAGTTATTCAAAATGTATTAGTACTAAGTGAAACTTCGTGCGTAGATTTTACGCAAAGATGAAATGTACCTTTCTGGATCAAATTATACCAGCACCAGAGTGTTGACAAATATAATAAGCAACGGGACTATTTATTGAAAAGAAAAGACTCATTTTTCAATTACATAGAAAAATACAGCGTTTGAAAACACTATCCAAAATTATATACGCTAATATTTTTAATACATAGTGTATCGAGCAAAAAAACATTTATATAAAATAATAAATAATGTTAGCATGTTACATAGAAAGAGATAATTAACCTTATCTATTCACACATCTTCCCGCAAGCACTACACGAGTCATTTCGCAGCTTTCAATCAAAGATTTAGCCAACAGCTCACATATAAACTTTGTTTTATTCAAACTTCTTTCAAATAGTTAGTAATTTACGACCCCCCCCCCCCATTAATTTTATTATTATTATTTTTATGTAATTTACGAACGTACTTGAGACAAGGGTATTGCTATATATACAAAAGTATAAAAATAAACCTACCTTTAATACTTACCAAATAGGTATGTTTATAAAAGTAGGTAAGGATGCTTTAGAGTTACAAAATGGAATGCTGGAGGTGTATTTTTACAGAAGAGCGGAGATAACAGATGATGAGAAAGCGACAGGTCTTGACAGATGTTTCGCGGTTGTAACCATACGCTAAGTATCTATTTTTGTAACAGCTTTAACTATATAAGCTTTTCATGAAGCATTGTCTTTGAATTCTATGTATTACTACCTACCATACCTACAAGGATTATATTACATATAAAATAAAACTCATTTACAAAGTTTTAAACGCAAAATATATTATTCAATGTTTTCTGACAATTGGATGCCAAAAGCCAAGAGAGTTTCATTTTGTCTTACTTGTCATCTGATATTAACATAAAACCAAGAAAATAATGGTTTCCTTTTTTAATATTATTGTTATATTTTTTAAATTAATCGTTCGTGAAAAATATAAATGTTTTTAAAGCTCTTTTTGTTCGCTCGTTACAATCCAGTCAGTATCACCAATATTTTTAATTTCATATCTTTAAATATAATAGCTATTATTAAATACATAACGAATGAATTATATTATCTAATATGTAGTTATAATCTAACAAATCTTTTACAACACGAAAAATAGTTAATTAATCAACGCCACAATCTCAAGAGATTTGTTTTATCACAAAAGTTTGGTAGTTATACCTTTTTGTTGATTAAAAGTTTCACGTTAATTAACCAAAAAGTAAATTTTCGAGAACCCACAACATTCGGAAAAACCTAGCTTCTCGTTTAACGGAATTTTCAGCATAAAGTTTAATCTTCTTATTACGATTCGTATTTCGACTGCTTGCTTTAATTTTTATTTTCATAATCCGAGTATTGAGGGTTTTGTTAATGAAACCTAAGTTAATAAGAGTACATATAGGCTTTTTATGATAGTGTAGGACAGCAACAGTAGCTAAGGACGTCGTTCACTTGATAGAAGATAGCCATATGCATCTCAACAAGATGCGCCGTCGACCTAATGTATAATATTCTAGCTAGCTGGTGCCCGCGACTTCGTCTACGCAGGATTAGGATTAGGATTACGTAGTGTCGCGTATTTAAACTAAATGATGTAAATCATATCGTACATTACATAATTATGTGTAACTAACGTTTATGGCAGCGCACGCCAGAATAGCTCGCAGAAAGCTAGGTTTTTTCCTAGTTACTTGACATTTAATGTCATATTTTGGACAGCTTACACAATATGTTTATAAATTGTAGCCTATGTGTTATTCTGATGTATAAGCTATATTATTTGAAAGTTTAATTGAAAACCATTCAGTAGTTTTTGCGTGAAAGAGTACAAGACAAATTCGTTCCACTAAATTGTTCTATTCTGTCTCTCTGTTTTATCGACACTCAGATATTTTTGCTAGAGTACAGACAAAATAACAGATAAATGTTTTTTTTTCTATGGCTTCGTTATAGTACACTATCATTGTTACGTTATAACTCGGCGTTAATGCAATTATAATAGTTAAACTTGTCGAAGTTCCACTAACAACGATTCAAGTACATAAACCATCATAGCACACGCTATAATATTAATGTAGCAATTTTGGCAAACATTATAATAACCCTAGATGTCAGCCACATTGGGTTATTAATTCAAGTAATCGTTAATAAAATTGTATAACATAATAATGACGTTAACAATGTTTCGCTTTAATATCTAACATAAGAACGATGATCATATACAGATAACAAATGATTTACAACTTAATAAAACACTTTTAAGGGTTTAAATAGCATTATATTTGTAAGTTTAAAACTTAACTTAGTTTTAACTATGGCCCGACGTTTCAAATGCGGGACTAATGGTAACTTATATACTTCGCGTTTCAAACTTTAGTGTTTTATTTAAATTTGTAGTAAGCTACAGACAATATTTGATTTCCAGCTAGTGAAGCCAAGCAACGTATTACAAGAACTTGAATGTTTTTGGACGCTCGTTAGTAATGATAACAACTTTTAGGCTGCATGCTTAAGAGAATCTACACAGACGAGAGAGGTAATGTTTTACGCCTCGACTATAATACTAATACTTAGATAAGTATATATCTAAGAATTACTATGATATAATTGTTAAGACTAAAAAGTCCTGAATTAGAAACCGGAACCGCAAACGAAACAAAACGTTGACTGTTTGGCGAGCTCGA